TATAAAAATATCTCCTTAACGATCACTTCGTGTGTGAAATACGAATCATACAACAACAGTTTTTATTTTATCATTTAAAAAGAGATCTAGAATAATGCCTTTAATTTTTAATCAAAATTTTAAACTCCTTAACTTAAGAATAGGAATTAGATCTGATTCATGTTTGCTCTTGTCGTCATCTCCACTCCTACCTCTCTGCCTGCACACAGCGCCTTTCAGGGTGTTGAAGAAATTAGTACCAATCTCTCCCCAGTCTTGAAAAATGAAAATAGTTTACGTTTGTATTCAGTATTGACCTCTTTCCCCTGGTTGACAGAGTCCTGAAGACAAGTGAGTTAATACTAGGGGACATTTAATAACAGGCTTTGGCCAAATGAAGTAATGTTCATTTCATAGCAGTAGGAGGAACCATCGGAATTCAAGAGAATTTTCTTGTTTTCTTGAGTATCATACCTAAATGAGAACTCTCACATGAGATTTTTCCATTATTTTGTATAAACTTGCACATACTTACTGACGTCTTAACATCTAGCCTTAGAATTTATAGAGATTTTTAAATTTTCTTTTGTTTGTTTTTTTTTAAACTCCAGGTTACGGAAAAACCTAAAATCTCTCATCATTGTACATCCTTCTTGGTTTATCAGAACACTTCTGGCTGTTACAAGACCATTTATTAGGTAATTTTCTAAAGCCATTCACTTTGTCTTTTGGTGTTTTTGTTTCTGTTTTTCTTTACTTTATTCTTCTCTGCCCCCTTTTATTTTCAGCTGACACATAATAATTGTATATATTTATGGAATACAAAGTGATATTTTGATACAAATATAGTGTTTAATGATGAAATCAGGATAATTAACATACCCATCACCTCAGTCATTTTATCATTTATTTGTGTTGTGAACATTCAAAATGCCACTGACTTTTAAAAAAAAAATTCCTTGTATAAATTTCTTGTCAGTTCTATTGGTCAGAAATATTGAGGTAATTATTTTTATTTTCTTCCATAGCTCAAAATTCAGCCAAAAAATTAGATACGTCTTTAATTTGGCAGAACTAGCGGAACTTGTCCCCATGGAATATGTTGGCATACCAGAATGCATAAAACAGTATGTTTTATTTTATTTCTTTAATTGTATTGCATCTTTATATTTTGATGTGCAAGAGGTAAT